ATGTGCACGTATCTATCAGGTGATCGCTGCCCAGTATCTGCATTCACCTCTCTTCACTTCGTTCTGGAGTAATCTGGAAATGGTCGCGCAAAGAACAATATTCGAAAAAGGAAAAATGTCAGCAATTCTGAGAGAGAGGGGCTCAAAAAATGAAAAACTTCAAATACAAACAACAGAAAAAAACATGACTTAGTCAGTAAATTCCCCAGCTATCAGGTTATTTAACTAAAGCTGATGATGGAGTGAAAGTTGTTGGAACAGCAAGTGAACCGGGCACATGGAGCAGATAAAAACAGTGTCACCCACAATGACACGGAGAGGGCTAGAATGAGTCAGTGAGCCCATGAACCGTGACAGATGTAGTCTAAGCTTATAATTTAAACGCGTTTTAAGCAGGTTTTAAAACAAATGGTTTTGTTCATGGACATTAAGCTGCGGGGCAGAATTCATTCTGGTAAATACGTGCATTAATGGGGTCATATGATGTTGCTAAAAAGAGCATTATTTTGTGTATTTGGTGTAGTGTTAAGCTATATGAGATCCTGGATTATATGATGAGATCTTAAAAGGATAGTTCACCCAAAAATTAAGATAATCCTACTTACCCTCAAATTGTTCTAAACCTCTATGAATTTATTTTTTCTCCTCAACATAAAAGAAGATATTTTGAAGAATGATTGTAACCAGTTTCTGGTCCCTGACTCCAATAGTGTATTTTTTTTCATATATGGAAGTCGTGAGGGCCCAGCAACTGTTTGGTTACCAATATTGTTCCAAATATATTCTTGATGGCAGTATAACTTCAGTAAGAGATGCAGGATGTGCACTTTCATACAGTATGCCGGTTTCATACAATAAATATATATATTTTCACTTTTTTGTACACGTCTCTAACTAATGAATGTAAAGGTTTTGTGTTGGTTAAACAAAACAAAATTGTCATCACTTACTCTTACGTCATTCTTTCTTCTCTGAAACATGATGGACAGATACTGACACACTGTATGGAAAAAGCAGAATATCTTACTACAAAGTTATAGTAAATGGTGCCAAGCTCCAAAAAAAGCAAGAAAAAAAGTGTAAGTGGTTTTCTTTCATTGTCCATTTGTTCTATGGAAGAATTTAAATTAAACGGGATAGGACATGATGAGAGATTTTTGGCGAACTATCCCTTTAAAGATATTAGTTTATTTAACATGGTTTATTAGTCAGTGTTAAAGGGATAGTTCACCCAAATATGAAAATGCCATCATCGTTCTAAAAACCTTTATGCCTTTAACTTATTTTTTTTAATATTCTCTCATCTAGTGCTGGGCGGTATACCGGTTCATACCGAATACCGGTGTTTATTTTTGTTATGATATGAATTTTTAAAGTACCGCAATACTGGTATATGTCGCTTAAACAACGATCGGAACACGACACTGTTTGAAAGGGGTCCCTTTTCACTGTTGCACTGTTGTGAGGGAACAGCTGTATGTGTTACTAAGCATGAAAGTTCCGAAACTGAAGCTGTAGAACTAATAGAACGTGATGACACAGAAGACTGGTCATGCATGAAAAAAAAATACCATCATGTACCGTGAAACCGGTATAATTTTGAAAAATACCGTGATTCAAATTTTTGGTCATACCGCCCAGCACTACTCTCATCATTTTTGTCCATCCATTGAAAGTCCACGAAACCAAACATTTTACCCATCAAAAAGTTCATAAAGACATTGTAAGTAATCCACATGAAGCGAGCTGTTTAATACAAGGTTTATGAAAAGAAACAACAACTTTAAATGATGAACAGGTTTAATTTAGGCTTTTATTCATATATAAACATAGACTGATGCACGGAGAGCATGAAATGGTGTATAGGAGGAGAGCGGGATTATTTGAGCCATGTGAGGAAGTTGAGCCACCCCTTGTTTCTAGGCAACCTTAAACAAAATTAGTGATACATGAATTAGTGATACACAAATACATGAAGAGTTATCCATTTTACTCACCCTGTGATGGATAGAGGCCCATGAAACAATTGGTAACTACATTTAAGAAAAAAAATAAAAGTTTTTTTTGTTGTTCAAAGTGATTTTTTTTATGTTCAAGGATGCATGCATGGATACAGGTAGGGAAACTCCCTGGATGAATGGCCAGTCCATCACAAGGCTCACACATAGATTTTAAGAAGTCATTCTTATTGAATTTCTCTTCCTATGATTTGGCATGAGGTAAAAATGTCCAGTTTTACTTCAGTAGCATAATCAATGGCATAGTTTAACTCCATATTGATTGAACCAAGATGCAACACTTTACACTTTAAACACACCGTAAGTAAAAACTGGTTCAACTCACCCCGCTCTCCCCTAAATAGCTGCTCAAATGTGCTTGCTGGTCCATGTTAAAGCTTCCATGTTTACTATATTGATGACATTTATATAATTTACACTGGTTCTGGTAATTTCTCACAGGATTATAATCATCAGAACACTCAGTAGTGGAAACACAGCGATATATGAAGACCAGAGCAGTTCCACTGACTCTAAACTCTGAAGCTCCACACAGACAACAACACATGAAATGGTCAGTTGAGTAAAGGCCCAGTTTAGACACACATAGAGCCATTTCCTCCACTTGGAGGTAAGCTTTGGATGCAAGAAGTGATGTATTTTATAGTCTCCCTGCACGGTGATGGCCCAGATGATAAAGCCTAGAATCTGACCTGGATGAAGACCATGCCACCACGCTGAGAACCCAAAGGTCATAAACAGTGAAGATCTGTTGGACCTTTTGAAGACCATTCTTCGAAGCCACGCCGCTGTGGTTCTGTTCCACTGGCGCGCAAACACTGAAGGACGGCTTGACGCTTCAGTCACCCATGGACTGCCATCAGAAAACCCATCCCATGATGATTTTCCACTGCGACTGTACGCATGGAAACCCATGCCTGCAGCATTGTTAACACACTCACTGAGCTTCCAGTGTGCATAATAGTTCATCTTAAGTAGCAGCGACAGGACCCAGATCCATATTATGTTTTGACAAACGCAAGGGCTGTTTACTGTGAATGTGATTGATTTTAAGAGCTCCTTGAGAGGATATTTAATCCACACCAAAACTACAACTTGCAACATCTTTGATGTAAGCCTCCCTAAATATGAAGCCAATGGTGAAGTCACACTAATTTGCCTAACAGACTCCACAAAAGTGTTGAAACTGCAAAGGGGTCCACCAAGAAGAGCAGGAAAATTAAGCGAGTAGCTTAGAAATGGTATAAGGACAGATAGACCCCGACTGCTGTTTTGAAAGGGACTAGTGACTGTTCCCTCCTGCAGATCAAGTGATAGAGAAGAAACCCTCTGGGTCATCAACATGATAGCAGATGTGGCCAGTAAGAGCCTGTTAGAAATAAAACAAGAGCTCACAATAGGGTCAAATTGGATGTTTTCATACAGTTCATACTTTTTGAGAAATACCTGAAGTCTGGTGTCTCTTGAAGCCAGTATAACTGGTACTGGATGTACAAGTGCCAGCAGGTTTGCCAACACATCTGCAGTCCCAACGTCCAATAATGAATATGCATTGGGTGTAGACAGCGGATCAGCAGCAGGAGAAGCACAGCACTGAAGAACAGCAATAAGCTGTATGGACCCATTGTTACGATAGCAAGGATGAATCCTCCCAGTGTCAAATAGACATACCTTACAAGAGGAGACAAATTTCATTTCACAGATGATCTAAGAGAAAGGATGCATTTATCAAAATAACATGAGCAACAGCATGGATTATGTTGTCATACTGTACCTCTTGATTACTGAGAGATGTCCTTGCCTGGCTAAACAATAAAACAGAAATGCAAATGGAATGTTCACAAACTGGTAAAACAGCTGTGGGTTTCCATCACAAAATAGCCTAACAAGATCCATCACCAACCCAGAACTGCTCGAGTAATGTGTGTGAGTAGAAGAGATATGATAAATAAGTAGAGTATGGCTGACTACCCTTCTATTTGATCTTCAGAACAAAATGTGTTTCTGGATTCCAAACGTGCACAGATAGACAGACACTCAGTAAACCAGCTGTGTACTTATTTCCTAAATGGAATCTGAAAGAGTGCCAACCAAGTTATGTAGGTTAGTAAACAATCCTCTCAAACAGATGAAGAATGGAAACGACAGACAGTCAGACAGAGGCATAGACAGACAGAAGTACAGAGACTGACAGACAGATTTAAAGATATAGTTTTATTCTACAAATTGGTGAACTTGCCTCTGGTTTGCACAACTGCAACAGTCTGTGGAAGGCATGGGTCAATTTAGAATATTCTTCTTTTGTTTTGCTAGACAGACGGATAGATAAAAAATGCTGGGTTAAATACAACCCAGCACTGGGTAAAATATGGACAAACCCAGCGATTGGGTTGTTTTGACCCAGCGGTTGGGTTACTGCCCAGAAGGTTGGGTTAAACATTTAAACCAACTGTTGGTTGAAAACAACCCAATCACTGGGTTTGTCTATATTTTACCCAGTGCTGGGTTGTAATTTAACCCAGCATTTTTTAGTGTAGATAGATAGATAGATGGATGGATGGATGGATGGATAGATAGATAGATAGATAGATAGAAAATTGTATGCTGCATTTGCCACACTCATGAATCCCTCTAAAGAATCTCCATCCATTTTCATAGAACACTAAAAAACGCTGGGTTGTTTTTTCAACACAAATGCTGGGTTGAGACCGCTGGGTAAGGACGTTGGGTTGTTTTAACCCAATTTTGGGTTGAAAATTGGTCTTGATCATTAACCCAGCGGTGCTGGGTTGGGAACGCAGACGTGAAAGAGAGCACGCACTACTGTGATGTGATGCTCTCTCTCTCTCTCTCTCTCTCTCTCTCTCTCTCGCACACACACACACACA